GTGATGGCTGAAAAGGGTGGAAAGAATCCTTGCAGACTTCGCCTACTATGGTTTACTAAGTCATCAATGCTGCTGTGCTAAAGGAACAAGAAGTGCAAGTAGGTTGTCTCTGTCCTCTTCCTCCACACTGTCTCACAGTTTTGAGGACAAAGTAACAGACTCTGTCAACTGGAAGATCATCTTCTTCCAACTAATCTCAGCTAGTCTGGCATCAATCCACATATCTTGGAATAAAAAGACATCTCAAGAATTATATTGTTCTGAGCATCTCAAGTCTTATTCTCTGCAGCAGAGAACAAACTCAGCACCAATAACAAGACAGGCAGCTGGATCTCAGTGCGCTAAAAACTTTGGAGAATTAAAGTCAAGTCATTTTATGTGGATCAAAGAAAAGGAAAAAAATCAAGGGACCCTATGGAGCTTTAGTATAGTAAGATGAAGACAGATTTCCCTGGAATTCCTTGGAATTTATGGGGGTTTAGCTCAGAGAAGAAATTGCCCCCAAAATCTTTAATAACAAATATGATTTCATTCTTTTAGCTGGTACTTACATACACACACTAACAAAAATCTTGTTATGGTACTGGATAGGAAATTATCCTTTCCACGTACAAAAACTGTAGTGACCTGGCCAGTCCAAATATTTTGCAGAGTCTTTTTCATCTGGTAATTGAAAGGTACAGAGAATAAATTCATTTGTTCATGCCACAGTATGCTTATTCACTTCTTGACATCTCTTCCAACGCTGGATGAAAAGTGCAATTCAACTAAATGACAAATTGCAGATCTTACTAGTCATCTGACCCAAAAGGGAGAGAATCCCCATCCTGGTGGCAGTACCTGAAGCCACTCAGCCTGCTCACCTCTGTGTCTCCCAATATTTCTGAACTATTGTTTTTCAGTTTTCTCAGGTGGTCGTTGTTATTCCATCTACTCCACTGGTGATTCCCTTTATTCCTTCTCTCCCTTTAGGCATACACCTCCAAACTTGCCTGCCTACATCCTTCTTCTGCCTCTCTGGATTTATAGCTTCACTTGCAGAATCTGAAGCGAAGAGCAGTGAGATGAGCAGTTGCAATTCCTTTTCTGTGACAGTACAGACCACCCAGCTGCCCAGCACAGTCTCTGCAGTGCTGCATTCACCAACATGTTGCAAAAGATTGCAGCTGCTTTTCCCACCTGTTTTTTCTTCTGAGAATTAGCATCTTAAACCATAAACATGCAGGAAATTGATGTGAGTAGCACAAAACATGTTTATAAAAGCAAATGTTTCATCCTGTTTGTGCTGGAAAAGATGTGTGAAGGAAGACTCCCTGATGGTTCAAGTGCTTATTTGTAAACCTGATACAGAGGTGTCCCAACTGTTGGGACCTTAATTCGATACTGAGATACCCAAACTGCCTGTGAATAAGAAGCAGGATACACTTCAAGCTTCCAGACAGCACAAGAAATATCAAAGAGTCAAACCCAAGGGTAAGGAGTTGGGGCTGGTCCAGCCCTATCCTGGGAAGGGGAGTAAAAGGTGTGGGGCTAGGCATCCTGGCAGGGTTTGGGCTTGTAGTTCAGTCACCCACGGAGAGAGTGAGATGGTGACTGCTGCTGCTTGAATAATCAGCTTCATCTTGGCAATGCTGCCCCACATGTCTGACTCCACCCTGCAATACTGGAACAGCCCTCCCTTTGCAGGGCTCTGGCACAGGCAAAGCGGGCAATGGAACCACAACTATGTTGCTGTTCCCAAAAATGTGCTGCCAGAGGCAAGTGCCTGCTGTGTCTTTGCCTGGAGAGAGCCCTTGAGGAAAATGTAACTCATGCAGTTAGTCCAAGATACCGTGGCTAGGAGTCCTCTAGTGCCTGCAGCAGCACACTTGGAGCTGTTTGAGGGATCTCCATCACCCGGCACACGACACTGCTGGTGTAACAGCTGTTCCTTGTTCAGTGCTGGACACTGCCAGTACTCCACTGGAGCCCTGGAGCAGTACCTGCAGAGTCAGTGTATTTACAGCTCTCAGGAACTTGCAGCTCCGTCCAAGTGGAAAATTCATGTTATTCTATATTTTACACAGTATCAGCGCTAAAAGGCATTAGTACCTTTTCATCCATTTTACAGCTACATCCAGTCTTTACTATTTTCTACATAACCTTTTATTGGTGCTTTTCTTTACGTACTTACCCAGTACAAAAATACAAAATACAGACCAAAATAAGAATACTCCAATAAGGTTTTGTTTTATGAGTAAAGAGGGTTGGTCCATGTTTTGTGGGAGGGGATTTGAGAAGGTTACATGGTGTGTAGGCTAAGGGAGGGCTTTTGCAAAGGGCAGGATGGGAAATGAGGCGCTGGAGAGAGATAATGGCATTAGCATAGCTCAGGTGGTGCAGAGGAGTAACAGGTGATGAATCCCCCTCGCAGGAGGAGCAGAGCCTTACAAAGAGGACACTGGCTTTGAAAGCCGTGCAGAAGAAGATTTGGGCTCAGGGATTTGGGCTCCGAAAGTGTGTGTGGAGAGAGTGGAAAGGACAGGCAGGATTTGTGAGCACTGCTCCTGAGGAGATCCCTCATTCCAAAGGTTGTTCCAAGCAGATCACAGGTAACACCAGCATATATTCAGCTCTTGTAATAAAACATGTATGTGTGCATGCCACGTGATCAGAAATACAACTGCATGCAAAAAAAATTGTTGCCTGCTAGACAATCTATAATGTATCAAACTCTAGTGTTATATATGTACACACACACACACACATATATATATGTATAAACACACACATATGACTTCTGTTAGCTAGAGTTTTTTCTGATATGGGACAGTTCAAACGGCCACCACACAAATAGGAATGCAATTAAATCATTTCACAAATAATTTATGCCTATTTAACTGGAAGCTTCAACCAAAGTAAAGTTTTGGGAACGGACTGCTCAATCTAGCCAGCAGCTCTGCTGGTTGGGATCACTCCAGTAGTGGTACTGGTATTTTAATGTACCCTGCCAACGAAGACAGACTGGAGATAGGACAGCAGGCTGTGCACCAGAGTGGCAGGAGTAAAGACCCGCCTTGTCTTGCCACCCCTTTTTTGGTAGCAGAAACTCTGAGCAGAGGCATGAGAAACCAGAAGTTTCAACACCTGAAAGAGATGCAGTGAGACCCAGCAGAATTTGGTTGTCCTTCAGTAAGTTACATACCACACCTCTGCCGACCCACCCCCCCTACCCCCCAAAATTACCCATGTATACATCTGCAGTGTGATGTCTTCAGTTAAAAATAAACAGCATTGTGGACATAAAATCTGAAAGCACACCCAGTTAGAATGTGTGATTGGCACTTTATTAATATTTACAGTGATTTTTAATTAACAGCATCTCTTCAGCCACTCATCTGTCAAGAAGTCTCCTGTAGAAGAAGCCCGACAAGCAGTGGGGAAGCCACCAGTATTTGAAGAAGATTTAGTCAAAGCAGGAAACAGAGATATTTTGGGGCATTACATTGTATCTCCCTATTGCACCACAGCCCTCACGCACGCATGCTTGGATAAAACTGCTCTGCGGAGCCGTAATTGCATTGTGGCTTTTTGATGTCTACTCAAACAACATTAGCTTTGCTGTCATGTTTTACAATGTAAAAGATTTTGGTGAAAATGTCAGCAGGATGGTATCTTTAATCATATTTATTGATTGACCTCAAAAGGCACAGTGCAATTTAACTGGAGCCCCTCGATGCAGCCAGGGTCAGGTTCAGACATACCTGTTCCTAGCACTGCCTGGAGCCCCAATTTCATGAGTAGCTTTTATGTCTGGTGTCCTTGAAGCCACTTGACTTCCCTTCTTTCAGCCCTTCCTTATTACGGCTTATGCAATATGCTACATAGCTAGAGATGCTTACTTTTAGGGAATATGAGGGTTTAATAGGTAATCTCTGGAGCAGGAGATGCATCTGCTCGTCAGGGCCAGCTGCAGTTTGGTGTTCTCTGACCAGTCCGAGAAATGATGGGACCTCCGCGCAGCCCGGCGTGGGAAGGCGCAGTCTGATCCCCAAACCCGTTGCAGCTGTGCTGTCCAGCCGTCCCAGAGGGACGACGTTGATTCCGAGTCTTTGCCCGCAGCCGGCATTTGTCTCCTGCGCCCAAAAGCCGGGTCAGCAGCGCTGGTAGCAGCGCAGGACGGGGCTGAAGTTGCCCACTCCCCGCTTGGCCCCGGTGTCCATCCTCGGGCATTGGCGAGAGGGACCCCGGGGAAGGACCGGCTGCAGAGGCAGTTTCGGGAAAGACCTGTCCCGGGGCGACCCGGCTGTCACACACAGACGCCTCGGCGGCCCCGCACGGCCCCGGGCAGGGCAGCGACCGGGGCACCCCCTCGGCGGGCAGCCCGGGCCGGCGGGATGGCGGCCCCCGAGGGGCTGGGGGTGAGCGGCAGCGGGCGTGTGATAAGGGCGGGTTCGGCGGAGGTGGTTCGTGTGTGTCTGTGCCTGCGGGTGAGCTCTGTCACGGGGAGCCCGTGCTCCGGAGGGGCAGAACTCGGCGGGCGCGGAGCGGTGAGCCCGGCGAGGGCGGCGTGCTGCGGGTGCGGGGAGATGCATGATGAAAGTGTGCCTGTGAGTGTGAGTGTGTAACTCACATGGGCGTGTGCTCGTCCGTGTGTGCTTGAGCGTGTGTGTATATCTGTATCTGTGTGGACGCGCGCGTGTGTGAGCGGTGCCAAGTGTGCGAGAGTGTGGATGTGCGCTTGTGTGTGTGCGAGCCATCTCGGCTGTGTGTGAGCGTGTGTGTGCGATCGTGTGTGTGTGTGTGTGTGTGCGCGTGTGTGTGAGCGCGGCCGGGGGGGCGCGGGGGCGGGGGGCCGAGGGGCGGGCCAGCGGCCGCGGCGCTGCTGGCCGCGCTCCAGCCCGGCGCACTAATACAGCCTGGCGGCTCCCGCCTGACTGACGCCGGCCGGGGCTGCTGCTGCCGCTGCCGCTGCGCCCTGGCCCCGCCGCCGCCGCCGCCGCGCAGCTGCAGCCCCGCTCCCGCCCGCGGCGCGCCGAGACCCCAGCCCGCGCCCGTGGCAGGTAAGAGCCGGGGCTCCCGGCAGCGTCCCGGCAAGGGCGAGGGGGGAAGCAGAGGGGACGGGGGACAGCGCCGTCGCTCCAAACTTCGCGCCGGGGCTGTCCCGCATCCTTCCCGAGCGGTGCCGGGCGGCGGGGCGGCGGCGGCGGCCGCAGCATCATCCATCGCCCCGAGAGCCCGGCGGAGCAGCCGCGGCGGCGCCCCGGGCCGGGGTCCCCCCGGCTGGCGGCCCCGGCCCCGCTGCGCTGGGGCGGTGTGCGGGCGGGGGCTGGGGCCGCAGAGCAGCGAGATGAGACAGACCGACGCCAGGACGGCGAGCGAAAGGAGGAGCGCGGGGAAAAACATTTTTATGGATGGCTAAACGGTGACAAGTCTTCCCGCTGTCAGGATTTTTTCTTTCTTTCTCGCTTAAGTAGGAGAGGGGAGGTTAAAAAAAAAGAAAAAAAAAAAAAGGAAAGAAAAGAAACAACAGAGCCCCACATGACACGTTTGGAAATACTTTTCCTTTCAGAGGTTATTTTCTGTTCAAGAAATCCCGCTCCTGGACACGCTCCCGGGAAAAACGGAGCACAATTGCTGGGATTCGGGGTTTTTATTCCAGCTCCGAACGGTGACTCTGATTGGCTTCTTGTCTTTTGGCTCCGAAGTTAAAACGTTGCACGTTTGTTGGTTAGCAAATAACCAACATTTCCAAAAACAATAGCCCTCGATATGGCAAATTAGAAATCACTGCAATTTTATCTCCGTGCCCAGGCAGCTCTAAGTGGGGGGAAATTCGGAGTTCAGCTTATTGGTAACAATTCAGATATTGTTTGGTAACTTTGTGTTTGATTTTATGGGTCCATTTATTTCGTGCTAGCCAGGTCTGCTTTAAAAGAGGCATTAGTGGAATAAAAATAAAAGACACACACATGGACATGTGCAGATGCACGCCCGCTGTTAATTACTTACATCTTATAAATTAGTGAAATAAATATTTCAGCCCAGAATGGTCAACTATTTAGTGAAGGAGCTCTCCCTTGGCAGAAGTAGGAAATTGTGTGCACGGCTTGGGAATGAATTCAAGTTTGCAGTGGTTTGAGAAGGGCACTGCAGATAACGCAAGTTTCAGTACTCTTCAGCATCTCCGCTGTGTGGAAATGTGCCCCTCTATAGGTGCAAGTATCGGTGTGGTAGGACTAATCTTCCCATCTTCAGGAGCATGAGATGAAGAAAGTGCTGCAAAATTCTTCTCCTCAGCAACGGTAGGACAAATGTCATCACTCAAACAAACCTCATCTCTTTTAATCCAGCCAGACAACTCCCTTCTTTCAGATTTGATAAGTACCAGTGTCTGGCTGGTTCATCTTTGCTTCCTGTTAGATTTTAAAGCAGACGCTGGGGATGTTTGTGGTTTGTTTTTTGGTTTTTTAAATATTGAGTTAATTTGACTTAGTAGCTAAAATAAACATGCCCAAAAATACATTTTTAGTCAGTTGTATCAGGAAGGATATCTTGTATTTACTGGGTTTAGCAGTAGTTCCCATTTCCCTCTGCCCTTTGTGATGGAATTAGAAACATTTTCTTCTTCACTTTATTAGCTTGCACATAAGCTGATAAACAGGAATTCTGCAAAAGGGCCTTGAATAAGGGTCAAGTGTATTTTACAACAAATCCTTATCATATCCAAATTATATATGCAAACCAAGAGATTTCCTGATGGATGCATCAAATCCGTGTCAGTATTTGTAAACTGATACAAGGTGGAGAGAGCTTTTATTTACATGCAGCAACTGAAACAAACACACACAAAGCTCTCAACTGCCCAACTTTGTGAAGAAGTTGAGAATTAGTATTTCACTAAAGAGTCATGCACACACATGCCAAGTATCTGCAGAAGGTGGGGATGTGGTGTAGAGGAACTCTTTAGCACCTCGGGTTTGAAAGCTACTCTCACGAAAATGGGCAGCAGTGCTCCATCTTTGCTTCAGTGGGTACAACATGAGGCCCAGCTCACTGGAAGAGGAGTGTGGAAGTGTCAATACAAAGTATCACGTAACATCTGCACAGTTAATTCTCCTTTCTCTCCTTTTATTCTTTTACAGGCTTTCTGCATCTCATGTTTGAATTCTTAGCTATCTGCTGTTATCAGACAGGGAGATAGTGTGTCATGCAATCCTCTCTCCTGAGTGCTAAAGTGCTGTAATTTTGATGGCCAGGCTAATCTGTCGCTATAAAGTTTTATTTTCCCATTGTTAAATTCAAAGGACAATGACTACTAATTACAAGTGACCTTTAACCAAAACACTAGCTGGAGTTTATCACCAGTGCTGATACTGACTAACAGTAATTCCAGCACCAGCAGTACTGGGCACCCTGTTTCAAAGAAACTTAAAAGAATAAGGGGAGACAAATATATATATGTATATATATACATGCTCTATAATTTGTCTGCTGCAAAAAATACTGTGATAGTGTAGAGAGATTCCATTTTCTGTGCAATATATACCCTTTACAAATAATAATTACAGGGCTGGGGAAGACAAAAAAACCCCAAATAATGCATCAGAAATATTTTAACTGAAAACAATACAGCAGAAATATACGTAGTAAAGGTTGTTCTGTCTGACTGCCTGGTTTCCTGATACAAGTGAGTGTAAAGAACCATTAGTGTTGCTGTGCATGAGCAGCAAGGGATAGTAATAAGAACAACAATTTGGGATAATCATTGCAGTCTTATTACTGTCTTTGAGAACAGTTGTGAGAAGCACTAGACTTTGAACACAGTGCAACAAAATTAATTTTTCAAAAATATCCCAAATTATTTCCCATCCGATAGTTTGCCTGCAGTGTTTGAATAGTTAGTACTGTGGGAATTTTACAGGTGGAAAGGTGGCTTACAGAGATTTGGGCCCTGTGTATTTATTATAGCAGCTAAAAATATGGCTGTGCTTTTGCAGATGAGTGGATTTAATAGAGTGCAGGACCAGAGTCCAGACAGAGATCCTGACCAATACATGTTTGCATTTTAATTAAAGCAGGTGAAACATCAGGTGGATTGTTCTACAGGACCATTTCAGATTTCTGCACCTTAGACAGATGTAAGGTTGAGCAGCTCTCTTTGAGGTTCAGTTCCTCTAAACAGGGGCACAGCAAGGACATGGTGGAAGTAGTCATGGAGTGAAGGAGACTTCCCAATTTATGCAGCCAGCCCTACTTTAAAAACCAAGAAAAAAAACAGAAGAAGAAAGTCTGATAATTGATCTCTGTTTTTCTGAGACATCATTAAGACCGAAGTGTGTTTCTGACTGGGAGAAGCAAAGCCTTATCTTTCACATCTTTCTACCCAGAACTTGTTTCCTTCCCACTCTTTTTTCCTTGTCAGTGGCATCACCATCCTCCCTCTGCCAAGCTTAGCATCATCTTTGCCTCTTCTATTTCCTCACAGGTTGTGATACTTCCAGATATCTCTTGACAATTTTTCTTTGTGTTACTTCTTACATTCCTCCTTCCTTTTTTTTGCAGCTGCCAAAGCATTAGTCCACACTGTGGCAACCTTCCAGCTTGATACTGCAACCTCCTATTTCCCAACAAGATCTCTTCTCCCACCTACGTTCTGCTCCCAGATGCAAAATCCTGCATCTTTTACTTTTCTTCCTGAAACATCTCCCATTCTGGAGTCTCTCTATATGCCTGGCCTTTGTATAGGTTTTGAAAATATTCCTCACATCCTGAGTTCCCCACAACTGTTGGCCTCAAACTCACTGTCCATTAAAAGAGAGAAATGAGGAGGAAAGAAAATTAGCAGACCCGTGGGTCATTAGAGTTTGTTCTGCTTCAGACTTCCTTTCACCCTCATTACCTGGCTACAATGGGAGCCAGACTGGCCACTTCTTGGTAGCGGTGGTTCTGTGTTTGCTCGGCCTGCTGGTGAGCTGGGTCACGCAGCCGTGCTGGGCAGAACAGCAGGCAGGAGCTGGCCATGGGGGTGCCCTTTCCAGCAGGCCTTGTCTGCCAGCAGCAAAGCTCCACCTAATGAAGAATCCTTTATAGTGTGAATAACCCTGCAGCTGAGGTCAATACATTTCAACAATGCCTAATCTTTTTTTTACATGTGTTTTCTTGCTTGCCTTCCCTTAACAAAAAAAAAACCAAACAAACAACAACAAAAAAAAACCACCAAAACCAAAAACACACACAAAAACCAAAACCAAAACCCCAAAAACCCCACTTTTTTTTTTTTTTTTCTTTTAAGCATTTCTTTGCTGCATTACTCATCAGATCATGCTTTACAAAGCCATTCCTGTCAGGACACCTGTGGGACAGATGCACCTGAGGGAAGGCTGTTCACCCTGAGGCCTGTGGCAGGGAGCAATCCCACATGCTGCCCGGTGGGCACAAAACTGACCTGAGGCACAAGCAGTTCATGTGGCTTTTCAAAACTCTCTTTTGGTTGCTTGCTGGTCTTGCCTATCCAAACCTACTTGTCTCTGTCAAATTACTCTGGCCCAGCTGCCAAGGTGCAGCTTCTCACCCTGCAGCATACGTGAGGTAGCTGATTTATCTCTCTCTCATCAACAGATCTTGGATTACTTCACACAGGGCATGACACCTTCACAGAGACATCTAGAGCAGAGAAACCAAAATCCATTCCCATGGGAGGCTGCAGCTCCCATGCCTGTCCTGCTGCATGGTCCTACAGGACCACTCAGGCTTCCTGGTCATGCCCTCCTCGGGAGCCTTGGGCTGTACGGGCTGCCTGGGCCAGAGCTGAGTGGCCCAGGCACTCAGGAGGGGAGAGGAAGGGTAGCAACAGCCATGAAGAGATGGAATATTCCTTGGAATCCTGAGATGGATTTGAAGAAGAGTAAAATATTTCTTCTAAGGACTCAGGGCCTGATTTGTGCCTTCTGAGACAGCTGGTAGTTAACACGACATGTCATCTTACATGCTAAAGAGAATCCAGTCTTTGGGTTTTTTTTTTCCCAGGCTCAAATGTAGGCATATGAAACCTGTTTAATCT